ATCGCGTCAGTCGTACGTAACGTAAACAATAAACGGTAATTGGTGGAGTTGGTAAACCTGATGTTTTTGTTTTAAAGTAAATCTGACTTATGCCCAGCCAAACTAAATTTTAAGAAATTTCGTGTACGTTTAGTATAAATTATTTTACTGATGAATGGAAAAATAGATAAATATTTTTCAAATTTGTTTTAACGCTATCTTGTTAAAAAAATATTCATTTCAATTTTATTTTGACTTTGTATACTTGGACTGAAAAGATTGCTGGTTTGTTATTGAAGGGAGAAAATACTTTGACAATATGCAGGGGATATTGCGTATCCGTCGACCTTGAGTTACATTATATCTCCCCTTATCAGGTTACAGGAAAATGCTCGATTACTCAACCTGTTTAATTTATATTTTCAGTAAATTTTCTTTCCTTTTCTCAACATCAACTCATTCGCTGCGATCTTTTCATACTTTCGATACAGTAGCTTTTGGGATTTCATACTACTTACCTTTATACTAGGAATGAGATGTCTTCACGGTCCCGTTTCCGTAATGCGTATGTAGAAGAAAATTTTAACCTGTAAGTTAACAATATTGTTATAAGCAAAATATACTTTTACTTCGTTGTTTCTTTATATTTTTACCTTCACTTACCTATGTATGCAATGTATAATAAGTGAAAGTATTGCGATCGTGAACATTTTCTGATCAAAGTTTTCAACGGAAATAAACGTTTTAAGGGTCCCTTGAATCGAAATAACCAAATCTCGCAAAATGGTCTCTCTGTGTCTAGACCTTTAATGTTATTCTCAATTAATATATTACTAACTATCAGTTTAAAATAAACAAATAATTAGCGGTGGAAAGAATGGCCGAAGTAACAATGTGTATGTTTGTGTAATATAATTAGTATAATTAATATAAAACGAACAATATAATTCGTATATAAAAAAATTGATGCGGTGCGCGCATCACACAACTTTCACTTACCATTTTCTTAGAAGAAATAATTATTTTCAGACAAAGCAAAGTGAAAGTAAAAATTATTGACCCTATATTTATTTATATTTCATTCTGAGTATTTTTATTTGTATAAGTACCATCATATATACAAATTTTAATATTTATATCGCTGTAATCTATACAATTAAATATTAAATAACACCAACAACAGCATTTATAAAAAACACATATGAATATTTATAAAATAATTTCGGATTCCGTATTATATTAATCTCATGATAAGTATAGAAGCGTGTTCTAATCTTTCGGGTGCGCTCGTATTCCTTTGGTTCCTCAATTACAACTATTCTCCGTTACGATCTCTTATTTCTCCTTTATTTATTAATCAAATTCTTTCATATTTTATATTTAACTATCTTTTTTATCAAAGATTAATGTGATTTGGTTAATTATTTCAAATAAAAAAAATTAAAGGTACTTTAAAGGAAGGTAATATAGAAAATTAGCCATTTAAGCCCTGTTAGAAAACATCAATAAAAATAAAACCTGTGTTATATTAAAAACTGCTTAATAATACACGGATATACTGAGTTCAATCATAATTGTTAGAGCCGTTTTTGAGAAAATCGTAAAAAATGTGTTAAATCGATTATATAAAGTATCACTTCCGGTTTGCCGATTTTTACGAAAATGTTGCTGTAACATCCCTAGCATATAAAAACCTTAAATATGCAATTTCACTTTCATGCAACTTTTCGTTTTTGAGCTGGACTGGCCACATACATACAGACAGACACACAGAGACCATTTTGCAGGACTTGGTTATTTGGACTCAGGAGACCTCAAAACATGTATTTCCGCTGAAAACTCAGATTCAAAAATTTTCACGATCGCAATACTTATCCTTACTATATATTGCATAATAGGTAAGTGAAATAAATAAAAATATATACCTGCAATTTTTTTTTTTTGCATCGGTACATTTGAAATTATGTTAAAAAAGCGATAGAATATATTACATATTTTTATATTGAGGCAGTGAGATCAACTCACAATTCTCCGATGCTTCAAATATGCCGCGCAATAACTGGTAAAATCTTCACGTAATAAAATGAATATAATATAATAAAATTGAAGGATATACAAAAATGGGTCACACAATCCTACGATGTGTTCCTATGTATAATTAGCTTTGAGTATAAAGTGAAATTTCAATAATAACATCATAGGACGTGGTAAAATAGTAAAATTAGTTAACATAATTTATTCATTCATTGTTGTTAATTTTTTTTATTTTATTTTTGTTCTTCGAAATATTGGGGGAGCGAAACCATATTCTCGACGCCGCTATTTTTATTTGGGGGGAGGGAGAGGAGCTAAAAACCCTCTCCTCTCCGAAGTCCGCACTCTCTTGTACTTTTCAATAACAGGCCGTAAGGATGTGATGATCATTGGAATCACTGTTACTTTTCTACGTGGTGAAGTGTTATTAATGTTTCCAAGGCGACATCCTGATACATTTTTTTTCCGCCACTGTTGGTCAAAAGGTTGCAGATATTAATGAGTCTGTCAATTTTAGTTGTTTTGTGTATGACCAAAAAAGGAGGGGAGGAGGGAAAGTTATGTAAAATATTTTTTTAAATAGGTAATTATTTTTTCATCCCAATAAACTTTTACGTCACCGTTTTCTACAAGTTCATCATTTTGTGTTTGCGTATGTTTTCTATTTTTAAAACGGATCCTATAACATTATGAAGTTATCATTCGAATTATCACGAACGTTGGAATGCTATGTTTGCTGACGAATTGTATTTATCAGTCTATAATCTTTCCTGTTACCAAGTGTTCTTCGAAATATCCGTTTCCAGGCTGGTATGGTCTAGGTTATTTTCTTATTTAGTATTTGTTTTATAATCTTTTATATTTTGAATCTTTGTCGATTTAATAAACAGCGTATGCAATATCGTGTTTTTTTTTATTTTGTTTTTTAAATAAATTTCGTAGTGCTACTCTATGGATTGCTGCCTACCTTGAAAAAGTTGTACTGCTTAAATATTCACCATTTTTTGGGGGGGTTTACTAATGCAAATTATTTTATATGGAGACCACTTAAAAAAGTAATGCATTAGGAAATGAGGTTGTAAAGAAATACACAAAAGGTCTTTAATGAGGTAATTATTTTCATAATTAGAGAGAATCTTGAAGCAGTATTGCTCCCCCCCCCCCCCAACCCTGACTCAAACCATAACAGAATTTCCCTTTTCGCTTCGTTTCGAGGTTACTTTTGATAAATATCTATAGAGTGAGCATCGATCGACACCAGTGACACTCTTAAAATGGTCGGTCACATGACATGAATTAATCAATATATCTTTTTAATTTGAACATCGAGATTAGCTATCATATCATTTCTAAACAGCCTTAGATTTAGAACAATAGTTCACTACGGTACAACTTAATATGTTAGAACATCTGGGTTGTGACAGCACTATGGAGGGCGAAATCAATATTTCACATATTTTAATAGGTCATGTAGTGACAAATTTTACCAAACATTGATTGGGAAGTATCTCTCTAAAAGGGTAGATTATAAGAGAAAAAAAAAACATTTACACAGACCAAAGAAACATTTAATATATATGAGTGGCTTAATATCAAATACGAACATTACCATCTTTAAAAACTTAAGAAAAAGACAATTTTCTGTAGTATAGCCTCAATTCAAACAAATTATATTGATTTTTTTTTTTTTTCATGATTCAACTTGATCATTCGTCAATAAAATCATCAGAAACAGTTTGAGTTAAAGCTATAATACAAAAATTGACTTTTTCATCGCTTTCAAAAAATAACAGGTTCGAACTGGTTCTTTTTTTTTTCATTTAGTTTTTACTTCCCTACATATGAAAACTAAAAGTTATCAAAATAGTAAATCTAGTCAGGATGTGCTTGACGAAAACACTCAATAAAGTTTTCACCTGTCCTGTTCAATTTGGCATTAGAACATGCCATTAGGGAGGTAATGCGTGCCGAGAAAGGGTTGGATCTGGGCGGGACAACATCCGTGCTGGGCTATGCGGATGATATGGGTCCTGTTGAGTGAAGACACGAAACTATAAAACTAAATACGACAACGCTCATGAAAGCCGGTAAATAACTAGGATTCGAAATAAACATGGATAAGACAAAATATATGGTTAGCTGCAAGACTATACGATAACTTGAAAAAATTAAATTGAAGAGGAGATTAAGGCTAGGCTGAAGGTGGGAAATGCTTGTTATTTTTCTACGCCAAAATTACTTAACTCGTGCCTGTTGTCCCGTAACTTAAAAATTAGAATATATAAAACAATTATCTTACCTTCAGTTCTTTATCGATGCAAAACTTGACCACTTGCATTAAGGGATGAGAAAGGTCTTAAGGTTTTTGAAAATAAAGTAGACTCGCTTAGAATATTCGGACCGAAGAAGAGTTCAGACGGTTACACAACGGCGAATTGCGTGAACTGTAACCGGTTAATATAATTGAGGTGATTACATCGCGGCGAATAAAATGGGCTTGTAAAATTATTGGGCTAGATGTTGTAATTGTAATGTAAAATTGTAGATTGATATTTTCTGTACCAAAGGTTAGACCGAAGTGAAGGTGGGAAGATTGCGTTAAAGCCGATCTGAAGAGTCTGGGTTTGGACAGCAAACGGTGGAGGAGGTGTGAAATAAGCGAGTGGTGGAGTGGGCATCGAACCGTTGGGTTGCTAAGTCTTTTATTATTATTATTATTATAACATATGAAAATAGGTTTTTCTATTTAAGATATGATGGTAAGTGAAAGTTGTGTGATGCGCCGCCTCACCAGATTGTTTATTTTATTTTATGTTATTTATTATTTTTTTTAAATTGGTATTTTCACGTGAAAGTTGTCTGAACGGCCGCGGCTGTGTAAATTGATAGAATAAATGCGGTTATCTCCCCTTCCCCGAGGAGATAAGGCCCGCTGGTTGCTTTGACGACGATGTTGTGCATTAACATTGCCTCCTGCCTGTTCGCAGATGTCAGCTGGTTCCCAGATCATGGCTCCTCAGAGTGGGATCATCATCAGTCAACAGCAGCAGCAGCAGCCTCACAGCCAGGACTCTAATCTGAGCACCGGTCAGTATATATTACATTATATTATATATATTATATATTATTATATATCATTAATAACATGTCTGAACTGTTGCCAGCCACGGTATAACATTATTATTATAGTTCGCCATTTCGAACTGACCTATAATTTAAAAGGTCACGTTGATTATAAAGGAAAGACTCATCGCTATTTAGCCTTTGAATAATTATTGTATTGAATATTGTAAACGATTGTCGACGTCGTCTCAATTGAGATTGTAGAAGGAATATCTCGGAGGAAGGCGATAAGCCTTTGTTTCTCTGGATCCTTATCTCATCATATATATATCGTTTGAATTTCCATATATACTTCGTTATAAACCTAGAATATTGATCCTTTTTCTTTGATAATTGAAATCGATATATTCCATTAATATATCAATCCAGTCATCCAGGCAAGAGAATCCTCGTATAAAGTCTCTGAAAAGAAAATTTTATCTATGGAATGTTGACAACATTTTTTTTTTTTCTCCTCACAAAAAATGACCTTGAATGTCCATTTTTTTTTTTTTAATTTAATTATTTGCTTCTTGATTGTAAAGAAAAGAAGAAGGGTTTTTAGAGTTTATAACAATTTGGCTGGACCATATCATAGTCAACATCTATCAGTCAATAATATTTATCAATAAAAAAAGCTTAACATTTATTTATTTTTCTATTTTCACACTTATTTGCCATTCGGTCAATATAATTAATAATATTGGAGATATGGGTAAGTAGTCGACTGTTCAATTAAAAGGATGAAACAAAATTTGACATGAATTAGCTGATGTTTCGATCTACATCATTGTGTCGAAATGTTGGCTAACCTAATAAAAAAAATATATCTTCACTGAAATTCCTGTCAAATTTTTTTTCATCTTCATAATTAATAATTAAATTAGTTTTTGATCAGTATTTATTATTATAGGTTCTTTCATGAATCAGTTAGTATTTACAGAAGAAACATTTAAAATAATTTTTTTCTATTAAATTAATATAAATTAGTTTATATACATTATTTGCCCTTAAAATTGGGTAAGTCACAGTATTTAGTTTTAACAATTTTAAATATTCAGGTGTTGTGGATATAACAATAAAAATAAGATATAGTAAATATTATAATATTAAAATATAATTATGAGTATACAAGTGTACATTGATAATAATATATATAATTGTTTTTATTTAGTTATTTTTTCTTTTCGTTGCTGCAATGGTTTCCTCATAGAATTAAGTGAATGTTATTTTACTATTTTATTTATTTACTTATTTTTATTTTATTTTTCTTAAGCAGCAATATCACAATATTGTGATTTCTATTGCTCACCTCTGATTTCATTAATATATCTTTAAGCTATGTATATATCTCTTTTATTACTTAGGTTTTATTTAGTCTATTATGTATTCGATTTTTTGGCCAAATTTAATGCTAATTTGTATGAACAATATTGTTATTGTTAAGGAACATTGTCCTAGGATAAAGTTGGCATTTCTATATATATATATATATATATATATATATATATATATATATATTAAGGAGAATGAGTAATATAGGAATAAGGTCTAATTATAGGAGTATATCGTCGATTTATTGCAAAAAGTCACCTTGTTCATTTTTGATGAAGCTAATCTTTTCAGTACATTTTTATGAATTTTGACCTTATTTATATTATCAATACAAAAGCGTGGACTGCATAAAAATGACTCAAATCCTTGTAGTTATCAATATTAGTTACACTCAGTGTCTTTTTATGTAATAATGAGTCTTTTTCTCTCAGAAATCAGAACATTACATAGAGGAAAAGTTTCATAAAAATTCTTTGTGATTTAAAGTTATGAAATGTCATCTAATGGCATTTCACAATATGTCAAATACTAAATATGAGTGAGTAGTAACAGTAGCAGCATATGACTAACATATTGATACATAAGAATAAGGAGTAATTGATTAATAATTAATTAGTTGTAACTAAATATAATACAATTCTATAATAATACAAAATAATAAAATAAAATACTAAAACTAATTTTAATATAATTATAAAATTAAGAGATACATGCATTTAATATTAGTAAATGACATATACTACTATAAATATAATAACTGGATGTGTCAAGGTGCTATTTTAAATATTCATATGCTTTAGTTATTAAAGTAGGAAACGAGAAAAATTGCGAAGTATTGGATCCTAAAACTTAATAGCTGTTGAACTTTGAATTAAAATAAAAAAATCATTTGATAAAAATTCTCTTTTTAGTTCCATAAATGTTTAATAGTTATTCTGGTATTACAAATGCGGAATCATAAAGCTCAAAGTCCATTTCCCGAATCTGTTGTAAGAAGAAAACTTCATCATAAGCAGTTGATAATAACAATACTGTACTTTAACCAGTCTACTGAGTTTTCATTTTAAAGTTATTTAGGCAGTATTATAAATTATGATTTTTAATTGAATTTATAAATTAAAAAGTATGAAACATAAATTGAAACAGTTTTTAAGATTTTGAAAATATAATCCAGTAATAATTTAAAAGTTAAAATCCTTTTTGATACACCTCTCAAAAGGGGTTTCCGTCCTGATTCATAACCCCTTAAAAATGATTCTCCCTCACAAGTTTTGATGGCACGTGTGCTATGCCATTCCCTTTGACTTAAGAACTCATTACTGTTTTATGTTTTAATAAACAAACAAAAAAAATTAAATATTCCTTCGATGATAATTTTGTTATAGTTTTGAAAGTACACAAAGGTGCAATAGTAAGTTATTATATAGATTTGGAACATTTTATATGTATATATTGTGAAATAATTATTCTTTTCGGGTATTAGGTCATTTAATTTACACTTTAATAAACTACATAAATTTTTTACTTCATTCTCTTTATTTGATAACATATCGACCCCTTCTTTTCCTATACATAGAATGTGATCTGAAAAGAACTGGAATAAACAAACAGCGATCATTGGCACAAAAATACAAGTGCCTATATGCCTTAACTAATAATTTATAATTTTTAGTACCTTCTTATCTTGGTTTGGAGTATCCAAGCTCGTCAAGAAGGTAGGAAAAATAAAAAATTATTAGTTAAGGCATATAGGAACTTATTTTTGTGCCAATGATAGCTGTTTGTTTTCCCAATTCTGAAGAAGAGATATTTATAAGAAGAGAAGTGATCGAGATAAAAAAACTTTATTTTCATATATAATATAAAAGCTTCCTTATCAAATAAAGAGATAAAACTCCAAAATGTATGTAGTTTATTAAAGTGTAAATTAAATGACCTAATACTCAAAAAGAATAATTATTTCACAATATAATAGTCAAGTGTCGATGAAAAAAATAATTTTGTATAAAATACGTTTAATCCAGAGATGTTAACTATATTGTTAAATGTTAACGTAGCTTCGTTATATCATTCACAATTCCATATATTAACTAGTTTAGCAAATAACTTTTGAAGACTATTCTCTATGTTCCGGATAAGTTTCCTCAGTATATAGAAAGTAAACCTTTAATGGCAATCTTCAATTAAACATTCCTACTTCAAATACTTCGTTTTGGATTCAATATAAGGAAATGTGCTGCCTTCATAAGGGAAGGTCTGCTAGTTAAGGTCCATAGCACCACCCCATACTGGCTAACATTGAAGTTAACTCAGCTCAGACCGTCCTATTGGAGCACAAGCTAAGATTGTTTGGACCTCTCAGGTGGAGAGGAAGACCCTGCATTACCTTAAGAGATAGAGGGGTTTGGGAATTGATTGAAGCAGGAGAAGAGAGCTGGTGCAGGATCTCACTTGATACTGGGTGGAGGAAAAGAATAAAATGATGATGATGTAACAAAGATATAATATTGTTTTGAATATCAAAACTATTTCTACTTGATATATTAATTGCCTAGTCGAATGGTTCCGAAATTAGCATCTTTTAACATTACAGTATTTTTTTGTGTACTTTGGTCGTTCTGTAGTCATATTACTTTTTATTCATAGTGTACATACTTGATATATTTTTATTTGCTTTTGTTTTCTAATCATAGTTTATATTTTATATTGTTAAAGGTTCATCCCACAGTGATAAGGAGGCAGAAAACATTACCCCCGAAAAGGGAGGTGGTGGTCCTAGGACAGGTACTGAGCGGAAGCGAAAGAGGAAGAATGATGATGGAAGTGGTGGAGGGAAGGCGAGGGCGACCATCATGGCCGACAAGAAACTTGACTATTTCACCAAACACCCCCCTGGTACCAGCCCTATCAGGCATACCGGGGCCAAGAGCCCCTCGCCGGCACAAGCCCAGCCACCTTCCTATCCCATGGTTAGTGTTAGTCTTTCTTCTTTTTTTTATTAGAATTAAAAAACTTATTTCTATTGGGTATTATATCCTTATTTATTTATTTTATTTAATCTTTTCAGCAAAATAATTAAGTACTAGTAATATTTTTTGTTTATTTGTACATATTTGTTATTCTTAAGGGATAACAAATATAGTCTCAGAATGAAGTTTGTTTTCTATTATATTTTTTCCTTTCTTATAATATAAAAATCAATTGAAAGAAAGAAAATAATCTGTTTCCTGGGATATTGATTGCCCTTTAGCAATAATTGGCTACTTGTATCAATTTACAATTTTTATTCATATATGAAGATTGATTAGGTTTTAACAATAAAAATACAAAAAGTTCCAATTTTGTCTTGTCCATATTTTCAAAGATTATTATTTTTGAAAAAAAAGTGATGGAGATGAACCTATGACCCGGCTAAGTCATTCCCTATCAGCCCCTAACTCATAGCGTTGATTATCTTATACTTATTTCCTTATTTCAGTTTCAAAACCTCCTTCCAAAAAATGTCTTTCTTTTTTTTCTCTCATCCCGTCATCTCTGAATGAAAGTATTTAGTTTGAAATGTATTTTATCAGCTTTTCTAAATGAATGTCTTTATAAAATAGAGCCGAGATATATCTGTCTGCCAACCATATAAGTTACTTGATACCGTAGTTTTAGGTCACACTTTCAGTTCCCACCACATCTTCTAGATACACTGTGAATTCACTTTTTTGGCTAAATGGGAACTTTCTTTTATTATTTAAAAGTGTAGTCTCTATCTCCTATAAGTTCTTTTATCACTTGAATATTATTACATCTCATATTTACATGACTTTTTTTCTATGCAAGTACTACCCAATTATAAAGAATTTTGAGGTCTAAATAGTTGTTTTCAATTTTAAGAGACATTTTCTAGACTCTGTCGGGAGGATTTCATTGTTGCAGAAATCCTTGTTTGATTGCCTGTCTAGAATTGTCACAACTATTCTTTTTTTTTAAACATGTGAGCTATCTTCATTAGTTGTACAGCTTGGAAGATTATACTTTATAAGTGTGGTATGATAATGGTACATACATCGGATTTTAATGTAATACAGCTGTTGACGCTTGATATCGTATGCTAAGCCTAACATACTCATCAAATAAACAAATAAGAATTTTGTTGGTCTTGGTATCTAGAGGCTAAAGGCTTTAACAACTTGCTTATTATAATTTCATTTTGATCAGTTCCTGATACCACTAAACATTTTTTATAAATGACACATTAGGTCTGGAGCACAGCTCACACAATTTGGTGGCAACTGATTCGTTAAACCTTACCTATTAAAAATGTTTATTCTTTTAATTTAGTAGGTACTCCTATTTCTCACTATTGATATCTCAAAACTCATTTTTAGTTTTCAATATAATACTGTTCATAAATCATTTTTTACATTGAATGTATTATCACTTTAAATAAAGCATAATATGGTATTAAGTTATGATGCCACTAGAAGATTTATTTTTTTAATTGTGAAAAGCTTTATGATGTTATTAAAAAAAAAAAACAAAAAAAAAAAAAACTGAACAGCCAGATTTTTCTCCCTTAAATAATTATTTAATTAAGAGCACCCACTTTTTAGAAGCTGAGCGGTTCTCCCGACCCTAGGGTTGATCCACGGCTGACGAAAAATTAATAGTCATCAGCCGGACTCAAACCTGAGGCTTTCAGCTCTGGAAGTCGGTGCTCGCCTTATGAGCTACCCCGCTCACTTTATGATGCTTTAATAAAATAAAACTTTTTTTTTCAGTTTCCACCATCTCCACAAGCCTCTTTGCTTGCGCCTGGTCAAGCGTCCTCTGATTACTCCTGTACCACTCTCATGCATCCGCCATCAAAATTGCATGTTACCATGTTGTCCAAACAAGTTCAGGTATAAATAAATCAATAGTATAAACTTTTATTTTTTAAAATCTTATGGAATAATTAATTTTAAAAGAACTTTTTCTTGTTTAGACTGACCTCACATGCCAAAGGATTCAAGAATTTGAAACCCAAGCATCATCTGATCTTGAATTGCGGAACAATAAAATAGATGAACTGAATAGGGTAAATTCTTGAGTTGTTTATTTTAAAAAATAAATAAACAAAGTTAGTATTTTTGTTGATTGTCTATATATCAATCAAAATTTTGTACTTGAAATGAAGTGTATTATGTTTTATTTTATTTATATATATATTTTTTTTTTTTGCTTGATCGTGTTTTATTTCTTGTTCAGGCAACCGAAGAACTGAGGCATCAGTTAGCTGCCCAGGCAAAAGCTATGGAACAACATAAAGCACATACAAATAAGTGTATAGACGTTGTTAAGAAACTGCTCAAAGAGAAGTCTAATATAGAAAAGAAGGAAGCTAGGCAAAGGTGTATGCAGAACAGGTTGAGGCTAGGACAGTTTGTAACGCAAAGGGTTGGAGCAACCTTTCAAGAGAATTGGACTGACGGCTATGCCTTCCAGGAACTTTCCAGGTAGATGGCATAAGATATTGCAATGTGAAATTAGTGAGATACCAATAAACCACGTCCTTTAGGAAACATTTTTTTTTTTTTAAACTTTTGAACAAAAATATCATATAAATAACAGTAATTTAATTTGTTTAATGTTATTTATCTTTTGCTTTTATGTAAACAATTTTTAGGAAATTCTTTACTACCTTACTATCCTTTTAGATTTTTATTATTTTCATATCTTTTGTCAACAAAATTTGTGCTACTTCGCCCATTGTCAAGTTGCTCATTATTTTAATTTATCATAAACTTTCATATGAGATGTTTTATCTCAAACACTAATAATATAAAGGTCCTATTATTTATTCCTTAACCTTAGAGAGGATTATAATGACAATAGATTATGTCAATTGTGCTTTTTGTTCAGAAAATGAATCTTTCTTAATCGTGTGCACTATGTTTTTAAATCTTTATATAATGACATCCATATCTTCATTAATATTTTATGAAATATTAAAAAGTATATAATTTATGATTGGATTGACTCTTGATAATTTTACTTGATGGTGTTACTGAATTCACTTGAGAAAAAAAAATCGGAATATTATTTGCTGAGATACTATAAAATTATAACAAAAACAACCCTTATAATCAAATGAGGAAAAAATTAAGTGTCCCCTTTCATAACATATTGCACTTACTGATTTCTCTATTATATTATAATTTGATCACTGACCTAAATATTCTTTGTGAGTTATTGACACTATCCTACTGATAATATGTATAAAACGTACATATATCTTTAAAGTACATTTTTAAAAAACTTTCTGTCTTTAACAAACATGTAAACTGAATTAATATACGATCTTTCTTCGAACATTCTTTTAATTCCCACCGGGTTGGACCTTTTGGTCCTTTATTTTTCCTCCAATTTGATTTCCTGTTAAATAACTTGACTTCTTCACCAAACCTTTTAAGTTACAAAGTTTTTTTCTGCACATATTATTAAATTATTAATATATATATATTTTTTTTTTCATTTAGGAGGCAAGAAGAAATTTCCAATGAACGAGAAGAAATAGATAAACAAAAAAAGCTATTAACAAAAAGACGCCCTAGTAATTCTGAAACTGGTCGGAAGCGAGCCGGCTCCTCCAGCGGTAGCAACAGCGGAGGCAGTGGGGGAGGAGGAGCAGGCGGTGGTAGCGGTGGCCTCCACAACGGGACCGATGGCTTCCTCAAGCCAGATCCTGTTCCAACTATGTCGACGCAGGAGTACTATGAAGCTGACGAAATCTTAAAGCTGCGGCAGTCTGCCCTCAAAAAGGAAGATGCAGACCTTCAGCTGGAGATGGAAAAGCTGGAACGAGAGAGGAACCTTCACATCCGAGAACTGAAGAGGATTCACAATGAGGACCAATCTCGTTTCAACAGCCACCCTGTCCTCAATGAGAGGTACCTACTTCTGATGCTCCTTGGCAAAGGTGGCTTTTCGGAAGTGCATAAGGTAAGTTCGATCAACATTTTGTTGCTTGCTTTGCTATTATTGATTTAATAACGAGGTTTTGTGGTTATTAATTTTTTCATTGGTAATAGTGTGTTGTATATTTGATTTTATTATCGTATTTAGTAATATGATCTGAAATTTAATAATTATTTATCATAACACCTGCTTAATATTTTGTTTTCCTTTTAGGCTTTTGATCTGAAAGAGCAGAGGTATGTTGCATGTAAAGTTCATCAGCTTAATAAAGACTGGAAAGAAGATAAAAAAGCGAACTATATAAAGTGAATATACATTTTTCTTATTTTTGTAATTATACTTTTGTAATATATAATGTTAACTCTAACCTTGATATTTTAATTTTAGACATGCTTTGAGGGAATACAACATTCATAAAGCATTGGATCACCCAAGAGTAGTAAAATTATATGATGTTTTTGAAATAGATGCCAACTCGTTTTGTACAGTTTTAGAATACTGTGATGGGCACGATTTAGACTTTTATCTTAAGCAGGTATATATTGTGTCCCTGATAAATACTACCAAAACAATTAATTATATGTCTTATCCAATTTTTTATATACTCTTAAATTTTTCCAGCACAAGACAATAGCTGAGAGAGAAGCGAGATCTATTGTGATGCAAGTAGTATCAGCCTTAAAGTATTTAAATGAAATTAAACCTCCTGTAATTCATTACGATTTAAAACCAGGTTTGTCCATCTTATCTTCTTTACTAACATTTCCTTAGTATAGATGTAATAAATATTCTGAATGGCTATTTCCTTTTTTTTTTCCTTAATACCTTCTTATAGCGTTTCAATTTACCATAAAATATAAAAAATAGGTGTATTTTAATGTTTGAAAAGTTAAACATGGGCTAATAAACTCATGGCAACCGTGGCGCCTGGAAGGCTTATTACAAACCGATTGTATTAAACAATTTTCAGTCCTGATAATGACACATGCTTGCGTGGAACGTCGGCACCGAAAAATCCCATAAAAATGGCTGAGTCCTGATATGTAGAAGTCGAGTAACTTCCTTCAATAAGTCACTCGATTTTTCAATCACTTTTATTAAAACAAGAATTTAATGATCTAAATTGGGATTCTTCTCTTCTCTGTGAGAATACTTTTCTTCTTAATGTCGGCCATCAAAATTAATCGTTCCTGAGAGCTGCAAAAGAAATCTCTACTGCAGCATTATACATGTATATATTATATTTTGCTGATATTTTTTTTCTCACCCTAGATATTAAATTGGTGGTATGTTTAGTAATTTATATAATTACGTATGTAAAAACGTAAGCTATAAAGTATACATTAATATAACAAAAATAGTGATTAGTGTTGTCTTTTCTGTATTGTTTTACAATTGCTCAGACACGAATCTTTAACTTATTTAGTTCTTACTTCCCAAAAGTTTAGTGGATTTCAAAATAAATAAATATCGTCAGTTTATTGAAAAATGTTGCCTTCACTTTTCATGTAGCTAAATTTTAAGTTTCTATTTGTGAATTAAATTATATTCATTGATGCAAAAATCCTTTTTTATCTGTGTAAAAATTAAGTCAAACTAATCAAATTATGCAGTGATTAAATTTTTTAATATAAGAATCAATAATTTGTTGTGATTATTATTTTAACATGAGGTATTAATCTACAGGAAATATTTTACTGACTGAAGGCAATGTATGTGGTGAAATAAAAATCACAGACTTTGGTTTAAGTAAAGTTATGGATGAAGAAAATTATAATCCAGACCATGGAATGGACCTCACCTCTCAGGGCGCTGGAACTTATTGGTGTGTATACTTTTTTATTTCACAAGTTTTTGAACATTCATTTTATATGCTATGGTTAAAAGATGTTTGTAGAAGATATTAATATTTTATTAGTATCCATTAATATTTTTTATGGAATATAGAATGCTTTACATTTATGTAAATATATGAAACATATCATATGTTTGACATATTGAGGATGGAGGTCATACCAAATGAAACACTGTTCATGTAGGCCACCTTTTTTCTCCATTTTATCATCAACTTATCCCATTCATGTTGAAAGCTAATGGCTGTTCATGAATTTTTTGTATCCCATCAAATTGATTAAGTTTATCAATCTCTTTATTGAAAATGTCTCATTTCCAAGAATTTTTCTAAATAAAAAAGGTGCATGTTTTAAGAAGAAGTCTAGGTTTGATATGATGTCATTGGCTGATTGTTATTGATACATAAATAATAATACTACTAACTGAAACAATTTATAATATAATATAACTTTAGTAATATAATAGACTTTAGTAGCCATTTAGTTGTGAAATTTTCTTATCTAAAATTGAAATTTTAGATGACAGATTTTTGAATGAAGATTACCTTTTAAAAATAACTAAAATTAAAAATTACCATTTCCAGCTTTGTTATTCAATACATGTTTGGTTGGAATGTAGATAACAAGTTTTTGATTAAACTATTTTTTTTAAATATGTGTCCACGTTCCGGTCTAAGTTCCTCATGACTAATTAAAATGAGATATCAATAGCCAGTAGGAAATAGGATTTAAAAAATACAAAAAAAAAAGATGGAAAACACTATAAAATTAATGGATATAATTACCCAGAAATCCTGATTGCTACAAACTTAGACTGAAAGTTTGACACAAATTCTTGATTAACCTCATCTTCCCACCAACTTCCAAGCTTTCTCAAGTTGATTGTAGTCTGAAACTAAGTTTGCATGGGTTTACAATACTATTGCTACCTTTCAATCATTGATGAATTGAATCATCTTTAGCTGCTTTTACTGTAAGTTGTTAGTAATGTTGTATTGATTAATTTTAAAGCAACTAAATGAATAACAAAAAAATTCTTAATTCATCGATTAAAAATAGCATCTTTTGGATGTAAACATAAAACTTTAACATCATCATTCACCACAGGGGAGGAGGGGACTTTCAGGCTGAAGCCCCCTCAAAATGGTAAAATATAACATGTTTTATATAAAAAATTATCTCTAAAAGTATTTTTGTTCGTCTAATTACAGATAATAGGACTTAAGGAATCACTTAAAGACCATTTCATATAAGTAGTTAGTTTCTTGCTCTCTTCCGAAGTAATTATCCTAATATATTTATGCAAAAAAAAATCTTTCGGGATGAAGCCCCCCTTAAATCCTGGATTCATTAATGATTCATTGCTCGTAACAAATGAATTATCTCAGGTTAAGCTGTGAACTAAAAACATCAATTACAAGTTTATTTATTTTTCAAACTATAACTAATTGAAAATATTGTCAATACATGCTTCTATCTCGATATTGTCAATTAATAATCATACTTAAGGTGGTTGGTTCTGATCAGAACTGAAAATAATATTTTTATTTTATTTCCTAAACTTGATCTAATCCATTCCATAAATTTATACAATTGTGATTAATATTCTTACATAATTTTTGAAAAGTTGTTTTATTTTTATTTATTTATTTCAGGTATCTTCCTCCAGAATGTTTTGTTGTTGGAAAAAACCCTCCAAAAATCTCATCAAAAGTGGATGTTTGGAGCGTGGGAGTTATATTTTATCAATGCCTTTATGGAAAGAAGGTAACATTTTATATATATTCTAAAATATATTATTACTGTTACCGATGTACTTTCTCCATCTTTATGTGAATCTTGTTCTGTTATATTTCTAACTAAAAATAAACATACTGACATTTTCTATATGCCTATAAATAATGGTTTCAAAATAAATGTTGTATTATATTTTATTAAAGTTATAGTATGGATTTAAGGATTATTAATCATGATTTTTCACTTATTTATGAAATTCCCTCTATTTAGATACCTCATTCATTAAAATCCACATCGCTCATGAGAGCCAAAAAGGAATCTATACTACCAATATTATTCCATATTGGATGATTTATATTGATTTTAAAAACTCCATTTATTAACTTCCTTGGGATCATAAGGCAGCTCCCCATACTCTCGCAATATGCCTTGACATTTTAATTCTGACTTATGTAGGTTAGTAACACAGGAGAGCCTATTGAAGTACATAATGATGTTTAACCCAATAAAAAATAAGAACTTACCTTTTTTTAATAATTCTTCTTACATCTATAATTATTCCATATTTTGTTTTTCTAAATGACTAACAAAAAAAATCTTAATTCATCAGAGTTGGTTTTTGAAAATAAAGTATTGCGTAGAATATTTGGAACCAAGAAGAATGAGTTACAGGAGAGATTAGACAGTTCCACAACACCAAATTGCGTGAATTGTATCTGGTTAATATAATTGAGGTGATTATATCAGGGCAAATTGAATGAGCTTGTAAAATTGTTGGACTTAGTAACGGAAGGTTAATATTTAATATAATGGAATTCCTGAAAGGTTAATATTTGCTCTGTCCACCGGTAAACGTCCAAGGGGTAGATCAAGCGATGGTGGGAAGATTGCATTAAGGCCGATCTGAAGGGACTGGGTTTGGGAGGTGACCGGTGGAGGAAAGTGTGTAAACAGCGATTGATGGTGTCGCTATCGAACCTTCGGGTTCGCTAAGATTTTTAGTATTATTATATCAAAATCTGCTGCTTTCTTCTAGTGATTTTAATTTATTTTATTTGTTTTTCAGCCATTTGGCCATAACCAATCTCAAGCAACAATCCTTGAAGAAAACACAATCCTTAAAGCTACTGAGGTTCAGTTCGCTAACAAACCAACAGTCAGCAATGAGGCAAAGGTAATTTTACAGTGGTTTTAACTTGTAATTAACTGGTCATATCTCAAATTTGATAAAATAAATTTTTTATATCATGTATAAATTAATATTTTTTCTTGAAAATATTATTTAAATACAACTATTTATTTATTAATTGAAAACATAATCTGTTTTCAGAGTTTTATTCGAAGTTGCTTAGCATATAGAAAAGAAGACCGAATCGATGTAATGTCTCTATCGAGGCATGAATACCTTCAGCCTCCGATTCCAAAACATGGAAGGGCATCGAATAATCAGCAACAGCAGCAGCAGCAGCAACAACAACAGCAGTTGCAGCAGCAGCAGCAACAGCAATTCACACCGGGAATGTTCGCTGGGATGAATGCTAGTAGTTCCTCATAGTCAAATGTAAGCTCCGATTTTTTATTTTTATTTGAAAGCATATACAATAACAGTCCTTTTTCTCCTTTATTGATGCTTTTTACAAGTATCTTGAATTTTGAAGTATTTTAGAGTTTCAATAACAATTTTTTTGTTTGATATACTTTTAAAAAATAAACAACTAGCCCAAATCATTTCTTAGGGATAGATTTAAATGTTTAAAAACATTTGAGGTCAATAAAAAAACATAAATCATTCATGGTACACAACTAAATGTGATCATTTTTAAAAATTAAAGAAAACAATTGTCATTATATCTGTAGCACCTATGAAAAGTGAGTCAAGTGCAATTTTGTGAATTTTTTTTTGTGCCGCTAAGTTATGCGACTATTACAGAGATGAATATTACTTTGTGAATCATGCATGGGTTGAAACTAAAAAATTGAACTTGTACCTTTTAAAATTTCAAACTTTCAATTGCATTTTTCCATAAGTATGATTTTCGCACTTAACACACTATGCACAGGTGCCACAGATATATTGAAGGCAACTAAGTAATTGCAGATTTTTGGGAAAATAAAAACAAAAACTTATTTTGTAACAAAATGTATTTAATCTTTAACGTATCGTCCATTTCTTTAATGACTTTTTGGCAGTTTCATCTTTCTTTCTTTTTTTAAATATTTTAGGCAGATCGTAAAAAATTTAAATAAATTGCTTGTCATTTTAAAAATTGTGCAAATAAATAAATTAATGGTAATCGGGAGAGAGGTCTGGACTGTAAGACGGAAGTCGAATTACATCACAACCAAACTCCTATAATTTTTGCTGGGCAGACAAAGATGCGCGTGTCTTTGCATTGTTGAGGTGGAACTCTACACCCCTCCAGTTTACCACTCAGGACGTTTATGTTGAATTACCTGGTTCAGTGTGATTAATTGTCGAATGTACACATCCGAATTGATTGTCTGGTTGTGTGGTAAAATGAATAATGCCCTTATAATCTCATCAAACTGATAGCAAAACTTTTTTTTTTGGGCTAATATCAGGTTTGTATGTTGTTAGTACAGGTTCCTATTCTTTGCTCCATGATCTTTTTCGCATGTCATTGTAAATCACCTATTTTTCATTGCCTGTAATCTACTGTTGTAAAAATGGTTACTGCTGGTTACCTTCATTTCTTTTGAACAACAAATCACAGATACTAACTTGTTAGGTTTAACGAATTTCTTGAAACTTTTATTTTTCACGATTTTTGTTGATAACTTCTTAGATTTTGTCATTTGCAATTTCATTTAGTTGGCTAGAACGTTGTTCATCTTTCAGTAAAAAATCTCCTACATGAAATTTCGGGAATCAATTTTGGCACACCCTTTCTTTTAGTTTTTCAGCACTGTACAAAGCACACATCTTTTTTTCTGCTTGTGAAAGATTTTTCCCTTTTTCAAAAATAAAAAAGGTGAATATGTCTAAAATGTGCACTTTGCGCTTCCATTTCAATCAGAATTTGGATACTAGACTAAACATTTCATCATCAAAATATTTACATGGAATTATATAAAGATCACACAACAATGAGGAGGTCAAATATTCTACAAGTATATAAAGATAACATTGTTATTAAAGTCACCTTCTCGTAAAATCCACAATTATTTAGTTACTAATCTTATACATTTTAAAAGTTTTTGTACCAAAAGTTGCTCACTCTTTTTTTAAATTTAGCTAACTATTATTATATTTCCTAATAATAATTTTAACATTGTTTGTTTTTTTTAACAGAGATGGCGGCCGTGCCTTAAGAAAACCTGAGGAAGAAAGGCGAGATGAACAAGATGAAGTGCTGTGATTAATGTTAGTGTTGTTCGTCTGCCTGGAACCACCGATGGGTCACTCCCTCTCCTATCTTGTGGGTCGATCGATGACAACCTTGATCTTGAAGTCATTTTTAACAAAGCTGGTTGGAAATAGCTTTATTTCTAAATCCACGGGGGGTGTCCCTTTGTTTTTAAAATGTTGTTATTGTTATTTTTAGTATTTTTCTACGACACCCAATATTATGGTGAGACTGAGATAGATGAGAGGGTGAGACAAAGTATAGTTTTTAAGATTACACCATCGTGGTGGTTTTGTATTTCCACGGCTGCAACTTTAAAGCTGGAAAGCTTTTAATAGTGTATGTACAGACAGATTTTTTTCATGTGATTTTTAATAATTGTGTCATTTACAGTGATAACCACTTAAGGACAAGATGATGTGGATAAACGATAAGTGTGTGATAAACGCTCATAGTGTTTCGAAACAGAATATGATAATAATAACTGATGATAATATATATATTATATATATATAAAAAGTTCCTTAATCGTTGTTTTTAACAATATTTAACTTATTTGTTGCTCTGCGTGAGAGTGGCACATGGGAAAATGGCATAACATGTCAGCGGTTAATGTTTTAGAAATATTTTGAATAATTTAACTTCCATGAATGAGTTGTAAATAGTGAAAAGCATCCCAAGAGACCTTTCTCCTTCCCCCAATTATATATATATATATAGTTAAGTTAATATAGGTTAGACATTTTGTTATATAAATATATATAAATATATATATAAATAGAATTATTAATTACTAATGGGAGCTCCCGAAATGTGAGCCAAAAATGAGTTATGTTTTAGTTATTTTCTGTTTCTATCATCTCTCTATCTTTCTCTATAAATATGCATATAATGGTTTTAAAACAATATAAGACGTTTATCTGAGAAAGTTGACTGTATACCTTACACCTCACCTTGCTGGGCACAGCCAGTGTATGTTTGGTTCTTGATAGGTTTAATTGTGTTTTACCATGGAAAGTATTTTTGTTATTTATAGTAACTATGAGGATATGTTATGTTTGCGGTTATCTAAGTCATTCTATATTGATGTAAATTAACATGCTAAGATTAAATTTAACACAGTGAAATGTGTGGCTTTGTTTATTTTTGTGTACATATTTTTTACGAACAAAACATTTATATATACTATATACATATATATATAAATTTGTAAACATTATTAGACTATAACAAAAGAAAATATCTAAGTTTTTCTCTTTAATTTTGAATGCTACTACGCTGTGCCCAATTCATTTGGCCCTAACCTCTTCGGACTGCTAGTCTTGAAAAAGTTATATACATTTTTGAATTAGCTTAAGTACTTTAATTTATATTACTGAGATTTGCATTTATTTAAGCGACATATGTAATTATTAATGGAATAAAGACTTTGCTGAAAATTATATAGTAATTTGTTAATTTAAATTGAAAGAAAAAGTTTGATGATATGCTGAAAATATTGTATCTAAAAGTTAATTATTAGTAATTGATGGATGTCATGTGATATTTGTGGGATAGTGTGCGATGTGCTCATGGGAAACAAAGAAATGCTTAAAGATTATAGCTTGTTTAGAACAATTTGGTAGGGCATTTTATAAGTGAATGTTTGTTGTTAATCATGTTCGCACACATTCCCACTATTGCATCATTCAATGCAGTTTAACAAAAGAAATTTTTAAAAAGGTACTGTTTTTCTTTCTTTTCTTTTTCAATGATCGTAACCATCGCTAATGTTATTATTTTTTTCTTCTTGAATCTGTAATAAATTTTTGTAATTATTGTTTATGTAAATTAAATATTTTGCCTCAGAGCATTGTAGTAGCTACAGCTTCCCAATGTGACTCTTGTGATGAGCATCCCTTTAAGGCTTTTCCGAAACATAATTATAAGACCATATAAACGCAATTGATGTTTTTTAAGGTTTCTTAATGTAATTCCTTATCATGATTGATACATATAAAAGTTTATTTTCCGAACTTCATGATAAGAAGTTATTATGGGCAGTCACTTTAACTGTATTGTTATTTATTTAACTAGCCAAAGGGGTGTTTCTAACGATGAAAATATATTAAATAAAACAGATTGTATTATAATTAAATATTGTTTCTCAACAACGTTTTGTTTCATTTTATTTTTTTTTAATTTCATTATTATTATTATTTTGTCTTTTTATTTTATTATATATTTTTTTTTTGTGAATACCGTTGATAGAGTAGTAAACAGGAACACGTTATTTAAAACCTTGTATTTTTTTAATCCATAACTCCCTTGCAGAAATTATTTCTGACTATGTTGTTGTACTTGTCATTCTCCTTCAAACATAGATTTTTATTTTTTAAATCTTCAACTTTGAATAGTGGTAAGTAAAATTAATATTGAGTTGTTGTATAATTGTTTAAAAACAACATCTCTAATTGTAGAAATACTTGCTAAAAGTGTGTCCACTTATGGCGTGTGTTTTTACGTAAATGTTTAACCCATCTGAGCCAGTTCAGCTCAAATAAAGACCACATAGATTTTGTAGTGCAGCATCACCAGGTTTCTGAAACAAGTGTTATGCTCCTCCTAGGGTCTGTTGATTCAATTAATAGAAAACTGAAGTAAAATCATGAAGCAGACAATTGGATTTCTAATTAAAATCATGAGAATATATCTTAATGTATCTGGTTTTGGTATATTGCTTCTAAAATTTGAGTTGTTTTTTTTTTACAAAAAAGTATACTAACTTTTTATTTGTTTATGATTTATAAGTATAATTTTATATTTTATTCCCTCTGCTATTTTCTATAGTAGCGCACTACTTATTGCAGTTGTATACTACAAAATGTCACCTTTTGCACTACTGTAGCAATGTATTGGGCTCGTTAAAATATAGAAATCATTCTATAAAAAGTGGCCCACACAATATTTTCTTCTAAACTTATTTACCTGTTTTTTTTTTCAGTGATGTACTTCGTATATGTGAAAATTAAAAGGGCTTTTAGTCTTAAGACTATAGGGAAGATCTCTGAAAATCGTAACAGGTGTTAATCTAAAAAAAATCGTTTGCACATTTATGAGCTTGGTTTAGTTCACAGCTATCAAGAGCTGGAACATTACGAAAATAAAAGAATCATTAAAATTAGCCCAGTTGTTCAAGATATAATCATGATATAGATACAATGATGTCTGAAAATCTGTTTTTATGAACTCATAGGCCTCTGAAATGTTATTTAAGATCTGTTGAAAGAAAACTGCTCTTCAGAAATTTTATCCAATTTTATGTTTTTTTAATTAGTACCAATAGGGAATTGATAAAATGGGGTATTGGCATAATTTACTTTATTTATGTTCAGAGAAAAAAAAATTTTTTTTTGTTTTAGGAACATGATGGAGAGGGAATCCAGAAATGTTATTGATAATGATTTTTTTTCTTTCATCCAGACTTATTATATGTTGCTTTGATAGTAAAATTTTTCTTTGTTTTTAAATAATAAGTAAATGAAATTATTAATTTTTCATAATAACAGTGTTAGTGACTGTGCACACGAATAAACATTTTGCTGTCAAAGTGAGAAAGGCTTAAAGTTAAATTTCTGCCATGCATAAAAATAATTCATTTCTTTTTTTATTTTTATTGGGGAATAAATATTCAAACCTCTTTCTAAAGCTCCTTGTTTTAAGCACTCGGACATGAACATAGTAAGTATTTTTATTAATATATAACTTGATGTTATTAAATATTTGTTCCACATTTCAGAAGAGTTAAAAAGGTCTTCATCATAAGATGTTTGTTTCTTTTGCCAGCTGTTCTAATTTTGCACAGCAGTAAAAGACTTTGTCGAGATTTTTATTTCAAGAGACAACCAACTCATAAAGAATTTGTTGAAATGTGTCAGACACCATTGATAAGGAGGGTGTGTTTTCAGAAAGCATAATCTCATATTATATTTCATACCATCTAACTTGAGTGTATGTTTACTATATTGTTGGTTTATAGCAAAAAGTTATTAAGCAGCATTACATCTCTAAGGACTTGGATAAATTTTTCATTTGTCAAATCAGAAAATTATGCACTTGTAACTATTATTTGATATATAATAATAATAATACTTTATTAATTCTGGGACGAGTCTCTTTAGAATAATACAACAAGACAGAAATGTGGACTAAGGAGCCTTGGAGATATATATATAGAGCATTCCTGTTTATATATATATATATATATATATATATATATATAAAAGGTTTTGTGTAATTTTAGTGTACTTATTATGATTTTATTTATTGACAAATAAGATCGAAATTCACAAAAATGTTTTGCTCCATCGAAAATGTACTTCATGACATTTTATAATAAACTGATTGGGTTACAACGCCAAATGGGGCTGCCCTTAGGAAATGTATACTTCTTCTCCAAATGGAGTTCTACAATTGGGGGTTCCCGGACTCTTAGTTGTTCATGTGGCTGGAGTCTTTATAGTTAGGAGTATCAAATCGTAAACTTTAAAATCGAGGCTAGTGGCACCGGTTCGAATCCGGCCTCGTTGGGTTGAAATTTATTTTGTGGCGAACACACGGAATGAATCTCGACCTTCCCACTCTAATTAGAATAGGTTCGGTTGGGCCTCTAGGATCATCCTCCATCTGCCAAAAATGGTGAGGTTGGGATTACTGGAAAAAAATTGGAAAAGTTTTTCATTGGGCTTACTATTATAAAACTTGAAATTTTTGGAGAGAGAAGAAGGAAGTGAAAGGATTTGCGGCTAAATTAAGGTTGTCCCTCTTCATTTGTAGACCTTCATTTCTGATATAATGTCAGGAATGTAATTTGATGTGGGAAGAGCAATTTTGCAATTTAATATAGTAAAGACACATACAGTTGCAGTCAAAAGTATTATCTCAAGCTAATGTTTGGATTTAAACTCAAAGTGGAATGAATTAAGATTACAAAACTTTTTTGATGAAAAGTACATTTCTGCATCAGCGGAGGTACTAAAAATAACTAATTAGAATCACTTTATCCTCTTTTAATTCCAAACTTGTTGGTCACCCTAACCCAGTGACAGCCTTAGAGATTCAGCACCCTCAGGCAATGACATAATTTCCCTCCCCCTAAAAAAAAATTTTTATTCCATTCAACATATCTCTATCCTCATGCCTATGAAGCCTCTTTATTTTGTTTATTTATTTTATTATTGTTGTTTTTTATTTATTTTTTCTTCTCATTATACAGCCAGAACATCTGCTGATTGTTAAAAAATGTAATTAACAGGTGCGGTTAGAAAATTAATTTCCCTAATACAGTTGCTTTATTGATTGGCTAACATTAATTATTTCAATACATTTTGTATTTTTTTTTATTTCTATGAACAAGTGGCAAGTGACCCAAAAGATCAGTCAGTGCCCCCCTGGCGCTGTTCAGGATTAATACAACAGAACTCTTTATGAAGTCTTTTTATTTTTTAACATTTTTCATTTGGATAAAAAGGGCAAAAAAAAAAAAACAAGTGTTCCCTATATTATCAAATGGTATAGTAAGAGAGGAAACATATTCAACAAAACAGGAAAAGGGCATTAAAATCTATTGACGCCACGAGAAAGCAGGAACATTGTCATAGAAGTTACAAATAGTCTGTCCATTAGTTCTTGGAGATTGGTAGTTATGGAAACGAGAAGTTGTAACAAGCAGGGCTGAGAGTCAAGTGTAGGAAGAGTCCCTTATCATGATGATAGTCATGGTAAGATTCTCTGATGGGGGTGGGGGGAGCTTTCGGGCTAAAGCCCTCCAAAATGGTGAAATATAACCAATGTTTTATGGGAAAAAATATTAAAAAATTATCTCTTAAAGTATTATTGTTCGTGTTACATTTAAAAGGACTTAAGGAATCACTTAAACACCATTTCATATAGATAGTTAGTTTCTTTTTTTGTTTCCAAAGTAATTATCGTCATTCTTATGAATAAAAAGCTTTCGGGCTGAAGACCTCCCCCAAAATTAAATCCTGGATCCGCTAGTGGTAAGATACCCCGAAAATAGGTTTGCCATTAACGTTAATAGAAGAAAAGAATTTGCTAAGTAGTTAAGAATTGTATCTGAAGAAACCAATACACAATTTTGAATACTTAATAGTTGACCGTTTTATTATTTAAGGAAGGAGATGGTCCGGGGCGTCGGTCATAAATGGACTAAATAGTGGCTTTTATTAAAAGCCAACGTTTCACCGGACTTTACAGGTCTTCTTCAGGGAGGAGGTGTGTTCAGCCAGGAGTTTCACTTAGAACTGAATGATTTAATAAAATAGTTTTGCCACTATTTAGTCTATAAATGACCGACACCCCGGACTATCTGCTTCCTTAATAGCACAATTTTGGCAAAATGTTCTGTTTAGCGATTCAAGTAATATAATACATTATTAGGAAAACAATAGAAGGAAATAATATAAAGACTTCTACTCACAGAAGTCCCGACGATATGATAACCCGTTGTCGTTATTGCTGCAGATTATCGCGCCCTGCATGACTGCTACACTGCAACTATATCGCCATATCATCGCTGAGGAGAATATCGTATCACCGAGACATATCGCATTCTTTGTTTAGGGACCTTGGAGGCTTCTACATGCAGAATGCGATATGTGTTCCCTGGAGCAACCTGTGATAAATCTAAATTTACAAGTTCAAACCCCGATGCCGAGAACTTTTAATTCTGGTATAATTCTCCTGGACCGAGAAAAGCATGTATAGCCAGCCTTAAAGTCAAGGAAGGGGAGAAAAAAAAAAGATACGATATCCTTTTGTCTGTATTGCTGCGAGTTATGGCTTTCCGTGTGGCTGCTATAATGCAATAGATATTACTACAAATATATCGTCATATCGGCGCCGAAAGGAATACCATATTGTCGGGGCACACTAGCGGATCCAGGATTTATTTTTTGGGGGGGGGGGCTTCAGCCCGAAAGTTTTTTTTTTTCATAAAAATAACGATAATTACTTTGGAAAATTAAATTGGATATGAAATTGTGTTTAAATGATTCCTAAAGCCCTTTTAAATGTAATTACACGAACAATAATACTTTAAGAGATAATTTTTTAATATGTTTTCGATAAAACATGGTTATATTTTCCCATTTTGGGGGAGGGGGCTTCAGCCCGAAAGCCTTTGTTTGTCAATGAGTCTCGTTTCACAGTTACACAAATCTCAAGATGGTAATTTAAAAAGTGATTTTGCAAGAGTTTGTCCAAAAATTGGATTTAAAATCAGT